GGGACCCGCGGCGCAATCCATGGCGCAGCCTATGGCCACCAGAAACCCCAGCGAGCTCAAGGGAATCTTCAGGCGGAGCTCCCAGCGCTGCCCATGCCGCAGCCTATAGCCACCAGGAGCTCCCGCGGGCGAAGAGGACTCTGTCGATGGGACCCTTCGCGGCCTCATACACAGCATTTGAGAAAATCCGCCAGCCTTACAAGCCAAAGGCGTACTAGAATTTCCAGTATAAGATGCAGAATACTTGTGCCTTCCTAATTCGCACGCGCGTGGTGGCCCCTTGGGGGTTCTCCGGCGGAAGAGAAATATCCTGGCAAGGTCCCCGCAGTGTCCCGGCGAGGTGCCCCTGGCAGGCACAGAAACGAAGGAATCCAAGAAGCAAGGGAATCCATATAGCCCCAGGAACTCGAAGAACCCCTAGGAATCCCTGGGGAAACCTTGAGAAAACCGAGCGACACGCGCTGGAGCTCGGAACTGCCACAGATACTCCTGCAAAGAATTGGCAGAAACTCCTAAAACAAACCGTGCTTGGGGAAACATTGCGATACAAAAAAAGCTCGTTGCCAGCGGGGGGGGGATTTCTGTATTAGTGTATGCTTGCTAGGTCCCGAGCAGCCTCTCGGTCCTATCGTCACGTGCTGAAGTTACCGGGTGCACTAAGGCTATATCTGGATTCCTGACGCCCGTCTGGAAGCCACCTCCTCCCTGGGGCATGCCTGAGCACGCCGAAGCGCTTCAAATCAGCTGGCAACCATGGAGACGAATGTGGAGGGGGTATGAAGGAGGATCCCGAGCGGCGGTTACGGAAGCTTTCTGGGACCCCCGGTCCGAGCTCTCGTGCTACCGCCACGACGACGCAGCCGTAGCTGAGCTTCTGGCCCCCGTCGGCGCCAGCGCCGTGGTCCACCTCCACGGTCTCGGGCTCGCCGCGGGCTCTGCTGCCGAGCGTGCCCCCGCCACCTTGCAGGCGACCGCGTCCCCAGACACCGGGTGGATTGGAAAAAACACGGCGGCCACCCTCTTCTTGAAGCTTGGGCCTCTGGAGGTACTCATGGGGTCCTGAAACCATCAGCAAACTATCTTGGAGCTATGTGATCGGCGGGGGCGCAGGGGAAGAAGGCAGAGAGGGGGCTGAAGGGATGGCAACAGCACCTCCCCACGCACCTGATCGAGCTGCTGATCACGTAGCCCAGCGATGCCAAGAGTAAGGGGGGGAAGGGGTCAGACGCTTGAGCGGGGTAAGAAAGTACAGGTATAAGAGCGGCAGTACTGCCCACGAGAGGTGATGGTCTGTCTCCGTTATGCTGGCACGAAGAGAAACTCTTGAGCTACACGATGTGCACAGATGGCAACAAGAGCGAATGCGCCAGGCTGAACCCCTGACCCAAAGCAGGGCAGCGCAGCTGGGCTGGAAAGGAAAGAGGAGGAGGCAACGGGGTGGTCAAAGCAGACGATGCCACTTGAAGACAATCGACGTAGACGCGCTGCGAGCCATATCAGCGAGACGGTCCTCGGCGGCCAGATGGCCAGAGTGAGACTGGATGGAACTTACCCGCTCGGGAATCCCACCAGCCCTCTGTGCGTGGGTTGCTTAGCGGATCAGCTCTGTCAATCCCGTGCTTTCCTTTCGGGGAGGGTTTACCTCTCCTCACTGCCTCATCCCCTGGGTCTGGATGGGGGGGGCGCGATGAAGCGTCCAAGATAGCCCTAGATGGTTCGAGGAAGCTCCAAGTGGCCTCCAAGACGACACCAGATTGCCGCAGTTGGAACATGATGATCTCCAACATACGTCCGAGAGGTCCCAAGACAACCACAAGCCGGCCCGAGGTGGCCCTCCGAGGGATGCCCCCGAGAGGCGTCGATGTTCCAAAAACGTGTGGCTTATCAGTGATGTGTGCCTTCTCGCACTTTCGCTTCGGATGGGCCTCCGAGGAATCGGGACAGCCCCAGGATGGCTCAGGAGGGCGTCAGGAGGCGCCCAGCTGAGCCCCAAGAGGCCCCGCCCCGAGTGCCCGGGGAGACGACGTCGGGCTCGGACGAGGTGGGGGTAAGCAGCACGGCTCCATGTTCGATCGATGGCTTGCACGATAGTTCCAAGAGAGCCCGGACGGCATACGAGCGGGCCCGAGGAGAGCCCCAAGATCGCTCCGAGAAGCCTCACAGAGGCTCCTGACCTTCTACACACACACCATACAAAGCCAGTGCACGCCTGACGTGTTCACTGCAACATCCCACGACACATGCGTTACATACTGGGCACCCACATGAGACACACGTCACGGTACGGCCGCACACGCATCATACACATGACACGCACACCACATAACACATGCGCTCAAGATTCGCAGGGCGTGGCAGGCGTGGCAGGCGAGCAGGGTGTGCTCAGGGGGTGGGGGTGGGGTTGCTATGCGTGCCAGGGTCCAAGTGCGTGGCAGGCGCGGCACATTCTCCACACCGCAAGGGGTGCGCAGGGGCGGGGTCGCTTTGCGTGCCAGGGTCCCAGTGCGTGGCAGGCGTGGCACACTCAGCACACCGCAGGGGGTGCGCAGGGGGTGGGGTCGCTATGCGTACCAGGGTCCCACGGCGTGGCCGGCGTGGTACATTCTCCACACCGCAGAGGGTGCGCACGAGGTGGGGTCGCTATGCGTGCCAGGGTCCCAGGGCGTGGCAGGCGCAGCACATTCTTCACACCGCAAAAAGTGCGCAGGGCGTGGGGTCGCTATGCGTGCCAGGGTCCCAGGGCGTGGCAGGCGTGTCACATTCTCCACTCCGCAGGGGGTGCGCAGGGGGTGGGGTCGCTATGCGTGCCAGGGTCCCAGGGCGTGGCAGGCGTGGCACAGTCTCCACATCGCATGGGGTGCGCAGGGGGTGTGGTCGCTGTGCGTGCCAGGGTCCCAGGGCGTGGCAAGCGTGGCACATCACTCACACCGCAAGGGTCGCTATGCGTGCCAGGGTTCCACGGCGTGGCAGGCTTGGCACATTCTCCACACCGCAAGGGGTGCGCAGGGGGCGGGGTCGCTATGCGTGCCAGGGCCCCAGTGCGTGGCAGGCGTGGCACACTCAGCACACCGCAACGGGTGCGCTGGGGGTGGGGTCGCTATGCGTGCCAGGGTCCCAGGGCGTGGCAGGCGTGGCACATTCTCCAGGCACGGGGTGGGGTCGCTATGCGTGCCAGGGTCCCAGTGCGCGGCAGGCGTGGCACATTCTTCACACCGCAGGAGGTGCGCAGGGGGTGGGGTCGCTATGCGTGCCAGGGTTCCACGGCGTGGCAGGGGCAGCACATTCTCCGCACCGAAGGGGGTACGCAGGGGGTGGGATCGCTATGAGTGCCAGGGTCCTAAGGCGTGGCAGTCGTCGCACATTCTTCACACCGCAGAGGGTGCGCACGGGGTGGGGTCGCCATGCGTGCCAGGGTCCCAGGGCGTGGCAGGCGTGGCACTTTCTCCACACCGCAGAGGGTGCGCAGGGGTGGGGTCGCTATGCGTGCCAGGGTCCCAGGGCGCGGCAGGCGTACACCGCAAAAAGTGCGCAGGGCGTGGGGTCGCTATGCGTGCCACGGTCCCAGGGCGTGGCAGGCGTGACACAGTCTCCACACCGCAGGGGGTGAGCAGGGGATGGGGCCGCTATGCGTGCCACACCGCAGGGGGGGCCCAGGAGGTGCGCGGGGGATGATGGGAGTTCGTGTCCTCTGTGCTGGGCTGGGTCGAGTCCTGAGCTCTTTACTCCATCAGGGGTTGCCGTGGCAGTGACGTTTGTTGCCAGGTCACGGGCGAAGGTTTATGCTCCAACCAGAACTGTAGACACCTTGGCTCCAGCGGGCCCGAAGGCAGCAAGCGTTGCCACGTTGTGTGCGCCGACCATGCCGCCCACGTGCGTCATTGACGCGCTGCCGCCTCCGTGTTTGCAACTGAAGAGATCCATGATTGACATGGGCGTCGACGTTTGCACCGACAACTTGCGAAAGTGCGATGCACTTCTGGTGATAAGCAAGCACATAAAACTTAAATTGAGTATGTGGGGTTCCTCGGTAGCGTAATTGGTCTCAGGGGGCCATCGCCGGGCCCGGGGACGGTTTGGGTTCCAAACATAGAGTCCCGGCATTGAGAAGCTCAAGACATCAGATGTATGGGTTTGTCAGGCAGATCTCCGACATTCGCTCATGTTACCATACGGGAGAAAGTCGATGGAATCATCTGGTGGTCTGCAAGCGCTATGGCTCATAACTGCTACGCACTGTCTGAGGCCATGGACAGCGCCTGGCTCGAACGAGCATGGCCAACTCGACATTCACCCCGAAAGACTGGATCGGAACGCAACGCTCATACGGGCAGTCGCCCTGGCCGCGTAAGGACGGAGCGGGTGAGGCCATGGCCTCGCAAATACGGCCGTGAGCGTCAGAAACCCACTCAGGATGCTGAAAAATTCGCGGATGACTAACAATATTCAAATTGCCCCCACTCTTCTGATGTCGATGTCGCCGATGGTAGACACGTAATCACGTCGACGTCTACCTGCGTACGGCCGAACCCTTGTTATATACGGACACCAACAAATAAACGCCGCAGGCGCATTTACGGACACCAACAAATAAACGCCGCAGGCGCATTTTTTGTTGCACGCGTCTCCGCACAGCCTGGACCAGCGCCGCCGCTGGCCCATGCGGCGACGGACCCCCCAGGCCACCCCACCCCCACCCCCCAGCGCCCCACCCCCCAGCGCTCCCCCCCCCCCCGGCGGCCGAGCCCAACCCCACCCCCAGCCGGCAGGGGGAAATTGTCCTGGCGTGCGAAGGACCCAACCACCTGCGGGTGCGAGTACGGCAAGGCAGGCGGGACGAAAGAGGGGCAGCTCCCCCTGGAGCCACGAATCGGGCGAGGGGGGTGTCGAAACAGGTGCGGTGGCGCAACACGAACCCTGCCATGGGGGCCCTCGGTGGAAGCGTGTGAGATGATTGGCTCTCCCTCTCCCCCTTTCCCCCTCCCCTGGTGTCCAAGGTGCAGCGTGAGCCCCCCCCCCCGTGGTCCTATGAGTTCGCCACCGCTTCTTCAGGAGCTTCCAGAGGCTCCACGAGCCCCAAGACGGGCCAAGAGGACCCAAGCATAGCGTCAAGACAAACCATGAGAGCGCCGAAACAACCCACGGTAGCCCTACGACCGCCCAAGATGGTTTCCAAACGGCCCACGATGCATCCAAGACGACCCAAGAGTGCTCCCGGAGGACCAAGTAGCAAAAAATCATCCCGTCCCCTTCGGAAAACTAACGTTTCGTCTTCTCAACGGCCACGACGACCCAAGGAGCCCCCAAGACCGTCCCAAGACGGCCCATGAACGAACTTGCATTTCAAGCGTTTCCTCCCAAGATGGCCCCAAGAGCCCCCCAGAGGCCCCCGAGGCGCCACCAAGAGGCCCCAGAAAGCCTCCGAGAGGCCCCCAAAAAGGCCCTTACGAGGTCCCAAGAAGCCTCCAAGAAGCCCCCCTGGTGCCGCAAGAGCCCTCCAAGAGGCCCCCGACGTGCATCCCAAGAGGCCCTCATATGCATCCAAGAGGCTTATGAACCGCAGCTGACGCACGGTGACGGTTTGGTCCACGATCGTCACGAGCTCTCACTCCTTCTGCGGGTCGGCGGAATGGCGTAAGCCTCTTGAACAAAATGAACGCGACAACGTTAGCTTGCCCCGAAGCAGCTAACATGCCCGCGGCTTGAAACGGAGTCGCGCGAGCGGAAGGCCCTCACTCAGATCATGAGGCGGAGGTCTGGGCATGAAACAGCGCTGATGATGCTAGTCCTACGCGTTCACCTGATTATCCCCGCGGGGCCACCACACGGAGTTTCGGTTTCGATGGTGCGTGCCCATAAATTGTAACTTGCTGCACGTGTTGCATGTTGCCTCTGCGCCTACCGCTACGGTTGTGGCGAAGCACCTTGTAAAGCCGCGGCATGAGTCTTGACAGTACTACTGCTCATGCTGACCTTCTCTCGTATCATAGTCCCTTGCTTGCATGCTCGCCTTCTCGCCGGTCAGCACGCTCGTCAACCACTGGGTTGCTATCTGCGGCTCTCCTGGGGACCGTGCAGAACAGGAGGGCGAGAAGGAGGAGCGAGCCTGGGAGGGAAATTAACATCAAGTGGTGACTCCAGGGCTATGTCAATTCACGCGTGGCATCGCAAAGCACAGGGAACAAGATGCTGCTGAGGTGTACTGTTGGTGATGGGCCTGCCCGGATTCCCTTGTGTATCCTGGAGTGCTTTGTGACTATGACCTCAAGGCGGCTATTGCCGTGGCGACGTGAAGCCCGAAAAACATGTACATGTTCCTCATCCTCCTCCCCCATCCTGCGCCTAAATCATCAATTCCGTACGTGCACCCTTGGAGCGCGTCTTCGCCATGGGATACTGCATTCGTCGTATCCTGCCGCCGACGGGAGTAAGGCCCTGCCGTCGATAATGCTGGTCTCAGAGATTCCGCGATCTAAGTGACCGACATGTTGCAAGGACCTCATCCTCCTCAACCTTCTGATCCTCCTCCTCCTCCACCTCCGACGTCCTCCTCCCTCAAAAACGAACATCCTACCGCCGACAAGAGTAAGGCCATGCCGTCGCTGGTCATCCCTGGTCTGCGACAGTGCGCGATCGCGGCGACCTCGGATCTGCGAGATGCTCGCTTCAAAGCTGCGTATTTCCCCGAAGCGGCCTTGGTCTGAGCAGACAAGGGGGACAGCCCGAACAAGGGGTCTGACCAAGCCCCAACGCCGAGCCCTGCCCAGCACAGCCTCACAGTTAGTGAGTCCTGCCAGAAACCCCGCTCTCTCTCTCTCTCTCTCTCTCTCCCTCTCTCTATCTTGGATCGGCGCTGGAACCCCCCACTGGCGGCGCTGGAGGCGCCGTCAGGGGGGGGCCAAGCGGTGGGACACCCTGGGATCCTGCGGATCGAACCTCTCCGCTCGAGTCCCACTGGAGCCCCCTACTCGGGCCATCACAGAGCCATCGGCAACGAGGCCAAACTCCCTCCCTCGACGGCGATGCCAGATCCCTGGCGACCGAGGCGAGGCCCCTCCAGCCCAGCCCAACCCAGCCCTCCCGACCCGGCCCCCGGCGAGGACTGGGAGGGAGGGAGGACCAGGGCGGGAGCCGAGGAGGGAGGGCGGGGGACGCGGGCGAAAGGCGGAGGGGGAGCGGGGGGGGGAGGAGCGGCCCGCCATCCCCAGGCGGAGGCGCGCAGACGCACATGGGAGGCTGGGAGCCGCGGCGCAGCGACGGCACGACGAGCACGGCAACACCCCCGAGGCACCAGCAGAGGCAGGCGACGCCTGGGCGCCGACGGGCCCCCGGCGGCCCCCCCCAGCCCGGCCCCTCCCTCCCGGCCCCACCCAGCTCGTCCCAGCCTCGGGACGGCCGGGAGGGAGAGCAATCGGGGTGTGCAAGTGTAGGTCAGGGCGGCCTGGCTGGGCATGGCGAGAGGGCAGGTGGGCCCGAGCGGGAGCGGCGAGACGATTCCGAGCA